TCTAACCAGTGCTCAAGAAGACAAAGTAGACGGCAGTATCGACACCGGATAAGTTAACAACATCTTGTTCAGAGGTAGTGAAAGCTTCACGGATCCAAGCAAATGGGTTTCTGGTCAAGGAGCTACCTTCCCATGGATCCATACCTTTAAGGATCCGATTCGGGTAGTAAATCGAAACGTTTCCTTCTTTCCGAGAAAGCCATGAGAAGAGAAACATGAGAACGACAAAGATAACTGCAGATGTCCCTAAGGACAAAAGAAAAGACCCAAACTCCATCTCTCAAGCTCTCTGGCTCTGTTTCTCTCTAATCTCAAGTGCTAGGTTTTTCTCTCTTCAAGCTCTCTGTTTCTCTCTCCTTTTAATACATGGGTCAAAAGGAAAGTGAAAAGTAGCCGTTTGAAAGTAAAGAAAAAAGTAACCGTTTGTCTTCCTTCAAGGCTTGTAAATTGAAGGCAAAACAAGAGAGAGAAAGTGTGTTCTTCCCTCTTCTGGTAATTTGCAGGTGTGAGAGAGAAGAAAGGCTTCTCTTTTTTGGTTGTATTCACAGAAAAAAAAAAAAAAGAAGAAGAGATTTGTTTAATTGTATTATTGTCTTGAGGAATTGGGGTTTTGTGATTTGATTAAATGGTGAGAGAGAGAGATGTGTGAAGAGCGTGTTTAAGTGAGAAGGTCGACAGGTGTTTGTGAAAGAGACACTAAAGGAGAGGATTGTAATGTAACCCTACTCTCAGGGGCCCTCACTTTACTCATTTTGGTAGTTTTTTTTTTCTTTTCCATTTTTTATTATAATACTAATAAATATCTACGCGTTGTCTGAAACAACGGTTTAGATGATTTTAAAAACTATTTAAGTATACTAATATTGATATATTTAAATAATGTTTTAGATTTATACTCACAATTTCTATTTATACAAATTCAAACATTATTTTTAAATGTTTAATATAAAAATGAGCCATATGATGATATATAAAAAATATTTCTTTTGAATACTATATTTTCAATTTTGCTCTAGAATTCAGCGTATTCTTTTGGAATCTTTTCGTTATAGTCAGTATCCACTAATGTAAAAAAAAATGTTGAGTCCACACATGACCGGAAATTAAAACTTATAAAGTGAAATATGCAATAATTTATAGATAAACACANNTAAAAAATTAGTNAAATTTAAATGNTTTTNAAATTGATTGATCANATATTTGGTATACAGAATTTGATTCTTATATTACCTAAATTTATATAGCTTCTACAATTTTTTTAACAAAATGATAGTTTTTATATAAATTTATTTTTATTTATGTCTTTATGAGTATTTACATAAAATACTCTATATAGAAATCAAGATCGTATGTGACATAAATTTTTTTTTTTAGTTTTTTCATTACAATTTTTTATCTTATCAATAAATGAAGTTCATAACATTTCTTAAAAAAATACATTTTCTAATATTAGTTGCATAGAAAAAAAAATCTAGTACAAAATTATCAATGGTGTGTCAAGATGAGTTAAATTTGGCCTAAACTGACAAAATTGTTGTATCAATTATTGATATATAATATCATACGTTAAAACGTTCATATATAAGGTTTTCTTTCCCTCAAGATGTTTCTTTAGGTTTTAAAAAGTTATTAATTAGACTATTTTTTTACTTATATAGTTAATTTGATACTTGAACACAAAAAGACAAAACAACAAAAAGAAGGTTAAAAATATTTTTTTTTTAAATATGATAGTTTTTCGGAAGTTCGAATTAAAAATTTTTTATAGAATTTGAAAAGAGATATTGAAAAAATTAATTATCTATAAGAATATGGTTTTACATATTTTTAATTAATTTATGAAGATAATTTGATGCTAATTAAATGTTTACTTTAAGTTAATATATTGATATCACATTTTTATTTTAAATAATTAATGCAAAAATCTTAAAATCTAGAGAGACAAATGTCAAAATTAATTAAAAATAATGTACTAAAAATGAAAAATTGTTAATACCAAAAGTGACACGTAGCAGCCTCTCAAAGCTTTACTTAGAAAAAACCTTAAAATATTATATTAAATATGTTTTTCCTCTTTATATACTTTTTGAAGTTTCTATTAACAAAAAGATTATACTATTTGATTAGAAAACTTTTGTAGTTAATTCATAAGGTTATCAGCTAAGTTCATATGTTAACTAAGAGATGTTTTTTTTGAAAAAAGAATTTTTGAGTAATAGCCGTTTGAAATTTTATGTCATCTTGGCCGTTGCTGTACTTAAATAGGCTTTTTATCTTGGGGAAATTAC